GTATATTAAGTTTAGAAATTTTACACCTCTTGTATTGAATAACCTGTGTAGGAATATCATATCGAATCGAAACCGGAATTTGTTTATTATTCAGTATTTTTTTTTAAATCGCTACAAATAAAAACGATTAAATAAATAACATAATATTATAATGTGGCATCACATTTATATTAAACAGTTCATATGAACATCTCAATATCATCAACAATCTTTGTTTTCCTGTTAAAGGATAATGTAAAACCTATAAAAAGGATAACAGACTTCGTAGACGTAGTGCGAAGAGATTTGGTGATACAACATAACATAGAAGGTTGAAGGAAGAGCTGGTTAATTAGTGGCAAACTGTAATCTCTTTTTTGGTTTTGATTAAACGAACACAAACAGCGGAAATTACTTGGTGGCATTATTCAAATTTCTGCAAAATTTACTTAACAATTAAACAAAATATTTACATGGGAATTTTTACATTAACTGTAGTATCAACAACGAAGAAGCTGTTTACGAATTTCTATTCTAACACGTTATTTATTATACTAAACGAAAATTATCTTCCAAAAGGATCATTAATTTTCCCTTTTTTTAATGCTTATTACTTCTCAAAAGTGTTATTCCTGATCGACTGGAAACTGTTCGTTGCTAGGGTACTATATACGTATGCCTAAAATGAACTTAATAATCATTCTTATATTAAAATTTTTAGAAGAAATTCAAAGTCTCTTCATAATTAACGGTTTAAATTAACGTCTAATTTACAAATTAAAAAACAACTCATTTTTGTAGCTATAATGCATGTGTTAATTTATACATATCTCACACTAGAGTTAAGTGCTAACAACGTGCAAAAGCGTAGAGTGATTATTACATGTTTTTCACGTTTTTCTTGGTGTTTATTATAAATTCATAAGTACTCCAAAACTCTCAAATAATTTCTTTGAATCGTGTTTTGAACAAGTCGAGACATCTTATGCTGCCTCATGAATCAGGTTGAGTATTTTCTATTCAAAACTCTATTTAGTGGTTTGAGTTACGTTCATGCTATAGAAATTTATTGTATAAAGTAAAGTAAAGTTATCCCCAGTTTAGCATTATCAATTAATAACAACACATTGCCACGTTTAACCTAATAGTAAAGCCTATGAAGGATTTCTCACGCCTTTCGTTTCCAATAACAAGCTGTTTTGAATTGTGCGACTGCATAAAGAAGACTGAATCTTCGTTCTAGATAAAGACGAAAGAGCTTTCAAGTTAATACCCAATGACAAACCTTTACATCACCGAACAGTCACGTTCATGTGATATTATGATTGAATGTGGACACAACGTACAATTAAGTTTTCCTTTCTATGTCTATTGTTAATAGCTTTCTCTGAAACATCTATATACAATTCCTTGGCCAGCTCCATTTCGAAGTATACGTATGCATTAATCCTTCATATCAAAATATTGTTTCAAATGCGGGCATTATGTGGAACAATTAAACTAGTGTTATTTGATCGATTTACGAAAAGAGATTATGTTGTGTATCAAAACATGTTCAATTTTATGCTAATTTCGTTTTTATTTTCTTTTACTAAAAAGACAGTTTTATTTTATAAAATGATAACAACCTGTGAAAATACATATATATATATTTATTAAGCCATGAACCTTTACAGAACAACCTGTGAAAATACATATATATATATATATTAAGTCATGAACCTTTATAGAAGTCCATTATCTAACTGGCAGTCATTTTTACTTATATTTAAAGTGACTGAAAATTGAGATAAGTCGGGATTAGACCCTGAGCTTCTTACTGCACGTTAGGCGTAACATTGCGATCAAATAGGGCAAGTCTGCTTACGTAGTCAGACATTTTGTCTTTCAAACAGTGACTCAGGCCGAATTTATAGTTTTTAATTTTTTTTTTCAATCGACGGACAATATGATTCGTCACAGAGAAACTACGTAGTCTCCCGAATAGGTTTAGAGTGTGTTTCAACTGTCACGTGGGGGTTAGAGCACTTTTTTGTTAACCGTCAGGAGATTAACTCGTGTAGCAGTACCCCTTTCAGAGGTAAAAAGGCTTATATCAACCACACAAGACAACACCAGTAAGTACTGTCTATGCCCCTAAGTTAAAAGTCATGCCACCGAAACATGTAGAGTTTTAAATGTATATTCCAGTTTTAACTCTATACAATAAATTATTGTGCATTTTTAATTGTTGACGTTTTTAATTATTTCATGATATCTATGCACAAAAATGACCTTAGAATATAGTGTAATTTTCTGTTGATTATAACATGACTTCTGTAACTGTTTTTTTTTTTTTTGCACTGTTTGGCACAAAAAGAAGAAAAGGAACACTAGGTCCTATTATCTTATACATAGAAACATTAAGTTAGTTGTCATGAACATTTGAATACGCGTTTCAGTTAATTAAACGTAGCTCTTCCTCGCCTACTCAGTATATTGTCATGTAATATAGAAATCATTAGAATGCCTATAATATTTCTGCACAGTTCAACATTAATGAACAGCCAACAAAGCACTGAATAATGATGAATAGATTTTGATTTAAGGCAGCGATAAAATGAGAGTCTGGAACAAATATCTGGACAATGTATGTACGTTATTATCTCTGCAGTAATCTAAAGATTTACGACTTTTATGCAAGTTTCGAAAAGCTGGTTCTCTTTGGATTCACTTCTAGTCACTTAGGCGCAAATTAAAGATCAGGCTTTATCACATTTTTTCAAGTTTCATTACCAGTATTGATTATGATGTTTAACATTATATATATATATGTATAACATTTGTTTTTTCTATCATATAAAGATATATATATATTAACAGGATTGCTTTCGATTGTTAGCTTATTATATGGATTTAGAACTAGCCTGAATCTCCTAATCTTGTGGGAATGGGATGTTTTTTGGATTGAGGACAGAAATATCGCTAACAGCAAGTACACCCAGCGGATGAATCAATCCCATATTAAGTAAGCCTACTATATTCATTTTCTACATTCACTAGTGGCTTGATTTTGAGTTCTGATCTATGTAGGTACTTGCTCTGATCCAAAGTTATTAATAAGTGTCATCATCAGCCAGTAACACTTATAACATCTTGTTGATCTGAAGTTATTAATAAGTGTCATCGTAAGCCAGTTACAATAATAAAATTTTGTTGATCCGAAGTTATTAATAAGTGTCATCTTGAATCAGTAGCACACATAAAATGTTGTTGATCTGAAGTTATTAATAAGTGTCATCGTAAGCCAGTTACAATTATAAAATTTTGTTGATCGGAAGTTATTAATAAGTGTCATCTTGAATCAGTAGCACACATAAAATGTTGTTGATCCCAAGTTATTAATAAGTGTCATCGTAAGCCAGTAACACTTATAACATCTTGTTGATCCGAAGTTATTAATAAGTGTCATCGTAAGCCAGTAACACTTATAACATCTTGTTGATCCGAAGTTATTAATAAGTGTCATCGTAAGCCAGTTACAATTATAAAATGTTGTTGATCCGAAGTTGTTAATAAGTGTAATCTTAAATCAGTAGCACACATAAAATGTTGTTGATCCGAAGTTATTAATAAGTGTAATCTTAAATCAGTAGCACACATAAAATGTTGTTGATCCGAAGTTATCAATAAGTGTCATCGTAAGTCAATAACACGTTTAAAATGTTTTCTTCTTTTGTGGATCGCTTTAATATGGACAAAATGTGATTACCAAAAAAATCACTCTTTCTACTAAACATGGGTGGCTCTTCTGGGTTTTTGAGTCCACTTATTGGGGAAATATATAATTAGTTTCTTGTAGTCGAGGTTTATAACACTTATTCGGAAAAAATATATGATTAGTTTCTTGGAGTCGAGGTTTATAACACATATTGGAAAATGTATGATTAGTTCCTTGAAGTCGAAGTTTATAACCCTTATTTGGAAAATATATGATTAGTTCATTGGAGTCGAGGTTCATAACACATATTGGAAAAATGTATGATTAGTTCCTTGGAGTCGAAGTTTATAACACATACTGGGAACTATATGATTAAGTCCTTGGAGTCAAAGTTTATAAATTCTTTAAATTTTACTACTCTGAAATTTAAGTAAATATATATCACAGATGCGACATCAACATTAGATATAGTAATCCATTTGTTGTCAAACAACACTATTTCAAGGTGTGTAAATTTCAGGTGTATCTTCACATGTCTTAACTAGGTTTTTCATAAAATGATGAATTCAGTTTTCCTTACTTTATTAGGAATTCAATAAATAGAAATTACTTAATGAATCATAACACAGATTTAATCGTCATTTAATATTATAACGGGAAAGAATCGTACATCTTTCTTTCCACAAAATATACTTTGAAACCAACTCCAGCGCATATTTAGCGAACGCAGAGTACCAAACTCATTTATAAACACTTCATCAGACGAGAATGAATTTCATATTCAAACTGCTTTCCGCATGACGAAGAACTCATAAATGTGTTTGGTGCCTCGCATTTGATAAATGAAGTTGAGTTGGCCTCAAAATTAATTTTGTTTCTTCCGAGAAGTAAAAAAAAATTACTCTCAAAATATTTGTTTTTTCTTATGTATAAAATGTAGGTGTGGCTTGTGACGAATTGAATGACGTCAAATCTCGAGCTTCTCCGCGGGTACTTTCAGGTAATGCAGTATTGTGTAATCACTATTCGAGCTCCTTGCACTGCACTTGCTCTGGTCAGGTCTGTCGAGCAGTTTCTTCTTGGGGTCTTCTTTTTTTTTTTTTTTCTTATTTGGATGCTATTCACCAAAGTGATTTTGCTGTTGTAAATTAAGCTTTCCATGAAGAAGCTTCTTATCTTAAAAGATCATTGGAAAGGTAAGAATAGGCACCGGGAAGAATTTTTATAACCTAGATATTTAATAAACTAAGAATTTCTTGCGGCCGTGGATACGTTTGTGGTATGTGAATAAGTCATCATATATTTATAAGATTTTGAGAGGTGCATTTACGGATCCGAAGATTTAATGAAACTGACTAGTTGTGAGCGATTTTGAGATAGTGTTTTTCTGCATCGTTATCTACACACGACAAAAAATGAAACAAAATAACATTTATTAAAGTCTAATTACGAACTACCGTCTCATATAGCTATGATGAGACCTATCACGTTCTTGTTTTCTAACATTTTAAATTACTCCGTTATTCTAGTTTTACAAGCAATTTCTCCTCAAAATAACGTCGATGGACAAATTTCAATAATTCAAGATAAACATGCCGCATTCATTCGGCAAAACTCCATCATTGAAAGGCAGAAAAATCCACCTACTGTAAATATTGTAGTCCTAGCTCCAAATAACGATACCTTACCGTATTCACTACATAAAGTGGTTCCAGGTGTTTTGTATGCTATCCAAACCTTGAAGAAGAAAGGTTTAGATAATTTCGGGGGTCGTTTAATTCAACCAATTTACAAAGACACCTTATGCTCCTCTACCGCAGGACCTCTTGCAGCTTTTGACTTTTACGTTTCTGGGGTGGCTGATGCCTTTCTCGGTCCTCTCTGTACTTACGTTCTGGCTCCCGTGGCACGGTATTCAGCTGCGTGGAACCTTCCTCTTCTGACGGTCGGAGGTCAAAACAACAATTTTGATGCCAAAAACCCCCATTATCGACTTACGACCCGCATGAATGGGTCATTCTCCCAGATAGGTGAGCTCTTTCTGAAGTTGTTGCGGAAGTTTCACTGGAAAACAGTAGCTCTATTGTTTCATGACTTCCGAGACCAGTCACTTGGCCACTCAAACTGTTTCTTCATCTTAGGAGCTGTATTCACAGCCCTAGGACGACAATCCTTCCACGAAGCCTTTGATGAAACAAAACCGGAAGAAAGAGATTTTCACAAGCTTCTTCGGGAAATATCAACACAGGCTCGCAGTAAGTTGATTTATTTATATTTCTCACACACACACAGATGACAACTTTCCACAAACAACTGCAATTAGTAATTGTACATAAATAGGATAAAACAAATTGAATATTAGGCTAAGTTTACTATATACTAATACTTTTTCAACCTGATTTCGTTAGTGGTATTTTGCATCATTTCCAGAAACTTTAACCGTCAAATTTTCAGAAAATGGAATTTTGAGCATTTATTTTTAAACTTCGATTTTGTATCGGTTCTATTAAAAGGAAATACTTAATTTATATATTTCAAAGAATCTGAACACATGATGAACCTTTGTTTCCACTATTTATTTTATCTCCACTGAAAGTATAAACAATGGCCTTTTAAACAGACACGAATAAATATGGACTTACTTGTGTAATGAAACCGTATAACGATTGATATTAATTATAGTATGATAAATTTCTCTATGTAGATTTATTTCAATTCTTAACACATAATGAACGTTTTGTCATGTTATGTTTTCTCTACTACAATGTAACTAATATAGTGTAAAGTAATTCGTTTGCATATATTTTTTACACAATAGTTGATAACTAAAATAAATTAGACTTCTTAATTTTGAAATTGTTAAATAAGTACAATATAAATCACAGAAAAATTTGCAGATCATACGGAAGCTTGATTGATTCGTTTGCTCTAAACCTTGTTATAACGCTACTGTCGATAGATTATTAAACACAGCTTAAAACATACTAAGGTGGCGAGTTAACACTAAAGCTTAATTCTTAGAACGTTACATGTCATTATAGAGCATGTTCATGCATATTCTACTTTCTTCAAAAGCAAACACTTGAAAAGTTTTAAAATAAGACATTTTTGATACCAACATTGTTCGTGTAGTGTGTGTTGAAAAGTACAGGTATCTCTTATTAATAAAGCGAAACGAACGACTTTTTTTACAATTGGTGTTGAATTACCTGTTTCAAAAAGAATCAAGTTTGGCTAACAGTTCCCTAAAAGCCGAACTGATATGTTTCATTTAATTCAGAAGATAGCTGATGAAGATCATTAGTAGTCTCATCAGTAGTACAAGCTTGTGGTTACTTAAAGAAAGTAACAATAAATAGAAAAGTTTTGAATAATTATTCATTACTATCAAAAACCAGATGGAACTGGAATATTTTTACCTGAACTACAACTTATGTGCACTTCGTATAAACTATCAGATTAGAGACTCCTAGGGTTAAGATATAACTGTTACTCATTTTTAGCTACTAACCAAAGAAAATGTAGTTAATCAGTCTACACCTACCGCCACGTTGGCTGTGTTCGACTATTTTGATCTGAATAACTGGACTGACGGGCACTATTATAATGCACCTATAGCTCAAAGTGCGGAGAGTGTTCAAGGACATCACATTTTGGAACCCATTCGATCAGTAACCCAACTCTATAACGTCGAAGTCATGCCAGGTCTACCAAAAGGAGCAAATATCGAAAAAATATGTCGCCGTTTCTTTCGAAAAGTCACGTACTTTTTTTTTTCTACTTTTTATCATTACTGTTGTAATTTTTACCGGTACCGTTATTACCGAACACTGTTTCAAGTCATTATTATAAAAAATACGAACAAATGCAAATTAAAAACACTAAAACTAGTACAAAAAATTCAAATAAAGAAAGAACACTAACTAACTTTTAAAAAGCTAATTTAAATATTATGCTGATTTCTAGAATTTTAGTTTTGTTTCTTAAGCCAACTGTTTTCTTCATTTCAGCAGCACAGATAGAGACAGAGAGCTAAATATATTGTATATTTTACTGGGTGTTGACTTACAGAATCTAAGGGGACCGAGGACGGCGCAGTGTTTAGCGTTCCGGACTGTAGATCTGATGTGTCCATTGATCACGCTCAATTACCTAAGTAAAATCCAATGTGCGTCACGTCACGACGGGCTTGATTTCTCGAAATAGGACGAATAATAAAAGCCAAAATGCATTTCGCCAGATAGAATAGTTCGGTTACTGTCTGCCCATTATGATTTTAATGAGGGGGTGCAAGAAGGTCGTGAGGGGGGTGGTCCCGTGAACCTTATAAGTGTAGTGAGTGTTGGTATAATAAGCCTAATGTGAAGACGTAGTGTGGGATCACCTAGCCTAGAGGTAAAGTATCGACTTAATTTTAAACATAAATTGTTTCAGAACTAAGCTAGTTTTCTGTTATATTACCAACGTTTTAAATAAGAATCAAACCTCTTTTATCAACGGAGACTCTAAATTATAAATCAACAGATATTTTTCTAGTTTTGTTTTCTATACATTTAATTTTATACTTTCAGAACATAGACTAACAACAATATTAGGTTATACTTTTCTTGCTAAGCAACATGACATAAAAGCCATTGTTGAAATGTAGTGTTGCCAAAACTCATTGGCTTGAATGATCGTATTGTCATTTCTAAGTTTTTGACTACGCTGAAACTATTCTGTTATCTTTAAATGTCACTACTCTTCCAATTACATGATATCAGAATAAGATTATGTCAACGAGTCTTATCAAGCTGACAGACAGCACACTAATTACAGTTACAAACCGTAGTCTATCGGTTATATTAGATCTGTAAACATATTGTTGCGTATCTGCTTGTTTGTTAATTTCCCGTAGAAAGTCTTTCAATGAAACTTCAGCGATACAAGTACTTTCTTAATTAAAACTAGTTTATTCTTTCTCGATACAACTTTGTAATACACAGAGTTTCCACAGTCACTTTAAACTTAACAACCTTATAACACACGCTATAAATCACAGCGATTCACACACTTTACTTACGGTGTCTACTGCTCGATTGGCTCAATTATTTCTCTTCAATATATCTCCGGCTTATATACTAAAAAAGAGGGCGTCTAGCAAACGCTGGGACATTCGTGAGGTTGCCCGCAAGTCACGATCCTTCTAGAAACTCCAGCGCGCATGCTCCCAACGTCGCGTGACTTCCACTGTGGTAACAATATATTGTTTGTACTTGAAGCTGAAATCACAATGTTAAACAATGAACCAATGCTATCGTCACAGTGAATATCTTGTCACCACACGCATCCATGACATTTATAACTATGATTTGATTTGTTTTGAATTTTTCGCAAATCTATTGCTCGCAGAGGGCTATCTGTGCTAGCCGTCCCTAATTTAGCAGTGAAAGACTACAGGAAAGGCAGCTAGTCATCACCACCCACCGCCAACTCTTGGACTACTCTTTTACCAACGAATATTGGGATTGACAGTCACATTATAACGCCCCCACGGCTGAAAATGCGAGCATGTTTGGTGGGACGGGGATTCGAACCTACGACCCTCAGCTTACGAGTCAACCGCCCTCACCAGGGCCTTTAAAACTATGTCAGAGAACTAGTCTTTCTCAGAGTAAAGTTTAATGAACCTAGTCCAAGATAACGGGCAATATGTTTATTTGATATGTACCGGCAATCTAGCCTCAAGTCTGAAGCAAGGTGGATCTGAAAGTGATTGACCGCAACCAACAAAACTCCAACAAATTGCCACAGCTTTCTACAAGATGATAACAAAAAGGCACGATTATTCCACTTTGTGACAGAAAAAAAAATAGCTGCAATAAAGTTAACACAATCAATATGGCAAGGGGGGGACACCCATATTTTGGTACAAACGTGACATGCCACATTGGAAATCAATTATGATTAATGCCAATGGTACAGGTGTTGTAGTCATAGTTATATCTATTCTGTCGCCTCTCAAGGTCGTTGTGTATGTCTTACGTGGCACAGGTAAGAAATGGCATAGCAAACCCAGAAAGTATGTGATGGAGCAAGAGACAAATTTACTAAACTTAACCGGCTCTCACTGTCGGTTGATGATGAAGAATTAAATGTCTTTTGGAATTTCGTAGTGACAATGTATGATAGGTCCAGCACAGCTAAATATGTCAAAGGTGAAAGTCAGGAAGCGGAGATATTGTGATTCTATACTGTAAACCCAATCAACCTTCATGTAACAAGCAGAACAAGTCGCCTATCAAGTGGGAAACATATGGGGGAAAGCAACAGTCTGTCTGACAATGGATTAAACAGGATACAATAGTAGATGCGAGTTTTATTGTTGCCGACTCAGCTGGAAAGCATTATGTATCTGTAGATACCCGGATTGAATAAAACTAATTAACTGTTATCTACCGCAATAATCCATATGAAGTAAAAATAGAATAAGAAAGATTATATGATGGACATAGATTTCATATACCCACAAAATAGAATCAGGAACTGTAGGCAGTGTACTGGTCTGTCAGCATTATAGGACTCGTTGACATCATTCTTTTCTGATATGACGTCATAGAAACACTAGAGACATTTTAAACTAGCAGAAATAGTTTTCAGTGTGGTCATATTCATAGAAATAAACACTAAGAGGTCACACAACTCGGACAACTCTATCATTTTCTGTGTACACAGTGAACATTGGTAAGGAATGTGGTGGATATCTTGATTTTCTTATGGTTAACGTTTTTGTTTTGTTTTTTGTTGTTGTTGCTTTTTTTCCCCATAAACTGAACCATTGAGAATATTCACCCGAATGTTCTTCATGTTTGCATCATCATTTGAACAATAAATCATGTTATCCATTCAGTTATATCGACTCATCAGTTAACCAACTTTGATCATTGAACTTTGGACCCTTTAGAAGTAGCACCTAAGAGGAGGGTTCATCAAATAAAAAAAAAAGTGGTTTATCTATTTCAGAAGTTTCGCGTAAACCTACAGAATGGGCTAACAGCACGTAGCTTTCCTTAATCTTAGACTTATTGAATATAAGAAAGGCTGCGAATTATGAACCCTCAAATTCACATTCTAGCACACTAACTATAAGGCCGTGAAAGACCCAAGTATCATTGCAGGGTCCGATGAAGAAACAAAAACAAAATGTCATATTTATGTCGGCAGTCCCTAATACAAAAGTATAACAAAACGTTCTGGAATGTTCTGCTATGTCCTA